AAGAAAATAACATATACAATTATTTATAATACAATAAAAAAAGGTATCCACGAATTCAAATATCACAGAGTTAAGTTATCAACAAGTCCTGTGGTGGTATTTTCTAATGAATCTTCTTTTGATGGTGGATTATCATCAGTTTTAATATTCCATTTATGTAATGGTACAACTTGAAGTTTGTTAAGTGAATGATGTTTCCAAATGAACCATAGAACACCGAGAACAATACAAAATCCTACCTGAATATAATATGCATCTATTTTAATCTGACATTTACCATTAAGTAATGTACATTGTTTTTCATCTTCCGAACGATTACACGTCAAATTCTGTACGGTACACGATTTCCATGTTAACAAAGTTGCTAAATAGAGCATACATGTTGATGTTAAATTCGTTCCTAAATTCGCTATTGTACTTAATAATGTCATATAAGTACCACCAATTTTTGGATCACTGACTTTTGCATAAAACGCAACTTTTGAAACAGTCATAGCATGGAAAAATGCTTCATTAATACCAAATAGAATAATCAAAATTAAATAATAATACCAATGAAATGATTTTGAATTTAAAATTTGAAATAATGGTGTGACACAAACGAATATAGCAAGTAGTATACCCGTAACAAGTCGAGGTATATAAGAATAAATCAATATATTTAATGGTTTTGGACCGATTGTCCAGTGACTAATAATAAATGGTATGAGAATTTGAACAAATATTAATGGTATAGCGGTTAGAGCGAGAGATTCTTTTGTAATACCATATTGAATTCGTGGATACCTTTTTTTATTGTATTATAAATAATTGTATATGTTATTTTCTTTTTTTTTAGTTCGGCTTATGTTGTCATCATTCAGTATTTGATATTATTTTTTTTTTCGTCTGATCAGATATTCCAGATATGGAAAAGAAAAATTAATGAAATAAACATAGCCAATAAATTTTTGGTATTAATAATATTGTGCACGACGTGTAACTAAAGTTAATTTTCTCACTTTTACTCTAAGTATGATCGTTGATTAACTCTAGTTGTAAATTCTTTCTTATAGAAATAACAAAATCTTATTTTAGATGTTTCACTCATGTTATGTAAGAAAATATGTCAACTTTTATTTTATTTTTTCCATATCAATCATTAATATTTGTGTTGTTGTAGAGATAATTACTAAAAGAGAGTGAAAACGTGAGAAGTCTGTTGGCCTCGAAAACAGGCAATATGAAAGAAACGTTGTATGACTAATCTCAGAGGCGTAACAAGTGGGTGGTAGTGAATGGAGATACCCATCATCTTACTTTCTAACATCGTTTGTTTTTCCTTCAGCAAAACGGTCTTTTGAAATATGAAACTAGTCCTCTACAAAAAGAAACCTCGTGAACCATGTGATATAAACTGCACAAGAATTTCATGAATGATAATCTGAGCTGTGCAGTAATGTATATAGAGTACGCTATTAATCTCATTAACAGGTTGCAGAAGATATAAATGCGTGAAACATCCGTCACTTTTGAGTTCAAATTCAATCAACTTGTTATCAAGAAAACAAAAACATCAGAAATTGTTATCCATTTCATATACAGTGTAAAAATGATAAAAAATCTGTTTACTCACATCCTGCTTTGAATACCTAGATATGTTCCTGACTAAACGTCCGTTTCAGTGACAACAAGACAGTTCTTTCATATTTCCTCTATTTTACTTTTGAAATCAAACACATTTAAAGAAAACAAAGCCATTCTTTCACAAGCGGAATAGAGCTATTAGTTAAACTTTCGCGTTTTGATTCTACTCAAAGCAAACTTTTAATGAACAGAAAAACTTTTGTAGTCAATAAATATGGTATCGACCGTGGTATGTCTGTTACTGTGCGTTTGTATTCCTTTAATACCGCTCTGGTTTCTTCTCAAAGCTAATGATGTTAACCTCTGAAAAGAAAAAAGGAAGTGAAATATTGAACGATGAGAAAAGACTTTCAATGAGCACCATCAAACTTTAAAATGAAAAAAGCAGTGTAAAATAATTGGAAACCTACTGCAAAACGGTAGTGTCCACAGCGATGAACCTGTTAAGAAGAAACATCGGCATCATCCAGCAGACAAAGGATAGTATCGGCTATTTAACATTAAAAGAGCTTTAACTAATAAAATCTTTCAAAACTAGGTTTGCATCGCTAAAAACATGTGTTTAACAATTAATAGCTAATATTTGGTCACATCGCATGGAGATATTTGACGATATACCTGTTTACTTATACTGATAAACCCGACAGTTAGTACGAATAACACTTGTAACACAAAAAAGTAAAAGGGCGGAAAGATATGTTTGATTGTATTGAATCATGTAACATGCTTAAACACAGTATATGTTTCTTTTATTAAGGTCAAGGAGAAAGAAATGTGATTTGTGGTGTAGTTTTACCTGAACTCAATACTGATTTCAGTTATAGAAAGCCATTCGAAGTCAAAAACAATCATTTCTAGTAATTAAAAGTTGATGTGCATCTTTCTAGCGAAAAATGCCCATTGTCCTCCCGGATCTCGCGATTGCCAATCGGTCTCACTCTTCAAAAAAAAAACTGTCATAAACCCAAAGGGCGTCTTAGTCAAATTAAGAATAAAAAAGTGAAATTTTTTCTAGGTATTATTGCATTCCCTAAATTCGAGATGGCACCACATCATGATTTTGTGCGCCCATAGAAATAACATGGGAAAATTTCACTTGTTTATTACCTTAATATTTTAACTGTAACTTCTCAACGTTTTTACAGAAATTTTTAAATTATATAACACTCAACAGAGTATTCAAAGCTGCAGAAATCAATCAGAATAGTTTGATATCTCTGCTTTGCTATACATCTTTTTTTCACAGTAGTGGGATCATTCTAATGACTTTAATTTCTTATTGAAGGAAGAAAATAGAATACTTCTGACATAAAAAGATCTTTTCAATTATCCATTACTAGTTTAGTTTTGTATCACATGAAGATGCATAAAATATTAAGGTATAGATTTTCTAGAAGTTTATTGGACATGACAAAAGCTTTTATAACTTTAGAAGAAAAAGATGCAAAAGTATTTAACTTTTCAAAAATAATATACAGACAAGTTCCTCCACGGCCACCCTGACCAGACATTGGTGAGAAAAGATTGCAGGATAGACACGGGGGACAAAATCCCGCCAGACCTCGTAGGAAAAAACTTTTGGATTGATTAAGTCAAAAAGTCTTGCGATGTTTCTTACCTTTACGCAAGAATTTTGAAAAAAAAGGCTATGAATGATAGAAATTAAGCTTCTTTCACATCCAAATCATGTATACGATTAATAATTATTTTACGGTTAAAGCACAATGTTTTTGGTGTATTTGATATAAAATGATCGACTTTCATTCTAATGTGACATATTTCGGAGCTGGTGAGTTGTAAATATTTTAATTAACAGATTTTATTATTTAGAGATTCGTTTTTATATTTTGATAGTCAAGAAGATCTAGCTGTATGTACAGTAGCTGATCATGAGATCAATCACTTCATTGTGATGTTGTTTCTCTTTGCATAAAAGTTAAGAAATATTTTTAAAAAGAATAATATTGGTTGGTCAACCTTACTTAATAAACGGTGTCTAACTGATACTGATCTATTCGAGTTCGTTAAGTTCCAAATATCTTTACACTTTTAGCGTACTTTACCATCCATTTTTGATATATAGCAGACTATATACTTTTTCATTTTCTTTCTGTTCCACCATTTCTTCAGCAGAAGAACAAAATGCGAGAACATGACTTTCCTCTCTTTCTGTAGAGAAAGAAAATCTGAACCAAATATCAATACACGGATCTGAGATACTACTCTTGAACTATAATTAGAATCAACACCTTAATTTCTAAGAGATATTTGCTAAAGAGAGATGACAATTTATTCATACGTATACAAGGCAAATTCGGTTTCTTTTTGTACTTATTGCTCACGTCGACTAGACATCTGTCCATACTGGTTTTTCTTCTCAAACTAGTTATTATGCTATTAAACTAAAATTTGTTTCGTTTGATTTTCACGTTATTTAGTCTATTAGTCTCAGATATACATATACTGTATGTCATTTTTAGAAAAACAAATTAAAAATACCTAAGATAAATAATCGTGTCTGACTGAAATAAACATCTACAGAATTACACAGGCTGATAGGAACCAGTAGTCTACAAAATCAGCCAGGAATTGTTTAACTAAGGAAAATCATCGGCATCTACATTCCGCTCTTATTAGGTGAGTTTCTCATGAAATACATTAACATTAATCCTTTTATTTTAGTAAATAAAGTAGTTTATAAAAAAAATTTTCTTTTCTTTTTATCAAAATAATATTGATGGATGCCATTAATTTATATTAAGCCAGCCACCTAAAAACAGAAACAATTTCTCGTTTTCATTTTTAAACATAAAAGATTGCAACTTACTATCAATTAATTTGATCAGCGTTTGTACCTTTCCTTCTTCGACTAACAGATGAGATGATAATTTTGAATCATGTTCAGCATTTAATATCGATGTTTCTAATTTGTTTAAATAGATTTTTTATACGCTGAACAGAATTAGCCCAAATTTTTTTTCTGAATAGCTTGTTTATTAAATGAATGTAGGGGTAGCAAAGTATCTCTTTATTCAAATCACTTTTCGGGTTTTGGCGCCGACAGTGGCGCTATCTTAAATGCGGCACTGTTGGCGCCAAATTCATGTTATTTAGTCTATTAGCCTCAGATATACACATACTGTATGCAATTTTTAAAAAAAAGATGAAAAATACAGACTGTTACAACAAGTGATCTAAATTAGAGGATACAATCTTGAATTTATAAAATATGAAATATATAATTTTCGTACATGTAATACAGTACACAACTAATGCTTAATCTTTTAGCTGGATTTTATATTTTGTATTTATGAACTGCATTTATTGATGTGTCACTCGAAGTTTAGCAAAACTTCTGTTTTCATCTAAAAATAACGTCTGTTTTTGTGATGGACACTAAACATCTGACAGCGGAACAAAGGCATTTTTGACAAGCAAAATTTTTTGCGAAAGCAAACGTTTTGCCAAACTTCGAGTGACACATCACTAAATGCAGTTTTTGACACTGAGCACGAATATGACGTTAATTTTTTGATGGAAAATGTTTTTTATGGCCGGAAAGGCGGTTTTAATGTTCAGAAAAACTTTTTCGCTTTGAACTTAATGTCTAAATTTCTATTTTCATACCCATATACAGTAACTACTTGACTACATGATGACGCAAAGATATCCAAAAAATGTTTACCTTATTGTGCAGAAAAGATATTTCAAAACTAGCCTCAAGATCCAAAATATTAAAAGATGGGTCAAATTCTCTCACTTAACTTCCACACTATATTTATCTTACTCAGTTTTGAACGCTCTTTCGAATGGCTTACCCTAGTCGAGAGCCCCGGAAGAAGTCTCGCGGGAGTCCCGTTTTTTTTCTCAAAAAAATCCATAGGGAGTCCTACGGGCCTCCCCAAAAAGTCCCGTAAAGTAAAACATAATGAAATCAGGGTCTCAGCTATC